TGCTGGCTTGACAACTCTCAGGAGGAGCTGCATGAGCTGCTGCATGCACACCCACCACGCAATATGCAACCAAAGCAGCAGCAGCAGCAGCAGCAGCAGCAGCAGCAGCAGCAGCAGCCGGGAGCGCAGCGCTTGCCTGCTGCAGCAGCGGAGACGATGCAGGGCTTCGTTCGAGGTTAGCCCCACAGCTGGCCAGCCTGTATCTAACTGTAGTGTTTACAACAGCAGCAGCAGCAGCAGCAGCAACAGCAGCAACAGAAATAGCAGCAGCAACAGCAGCAGCTGCTGCTGCTGCACCATGTATGGCTGCCGCTTGGGCGCTCCCCTGCCGCTGCAGTGGCCGTCTCCTTTCTATATTGCTCCTGCTGCTGTCTGTGTTTTGTTGCTGCAGCTCATCGCTGTGNGCAGTGGCCGTCTCCTTTCTATATTGCTCCTGCTGCTGTCTGTGTTTTGTTGCTGCAGCTCATCGCTGTGTAGCTGCTGATGGTGCAGCAGCTGCAGCAGCTGCGACAGAACCAGCAGCAGCAGCAGCAGCAGCAGCAAATGCTGCTGCGGGGGCCGGAACAGCGCATGCATCGGGGGAGGCTCTGGAGGAGACGCTGCAGAAGCTTAAGGGGCTGCAGCAGCAGCTGGCGGGTTCGTTTGCTGCAGTTGAAATGTTGCTGCTGCTGCTGTTACGGTTGCTGCTGCTGCTGCTGCTCCTCTTGCTGTTGCTGCTGCTTGAACCTGCTGCTGCTGTGTGCTGCTGTGGTTGCAGCAGCATGGACTGCTCGTGATGGTGGCCGCGCTGCTGATGAGGCGCATGCAGCAGCAGCTGCTGCAGCAGGTGGATACCCGGTGAGACATATGTCTTAGAATGCAGCAGCAGCAGCAGCAGCAGCAGCAGCAGTAGCAGCAGTAGCAGCTGTAGGGCCACGCGCACCTTTGGTACTGGTTGATGGTCTTCACATGTCGCTGCCTTTGCTGTTGCTGTTGCTGCTGCTGCTGTTGCTGCTGCTGCTGCTGCTGCTGCGTTTGTATTTCAGGCCGCGTGTAAGCTTGAGGGGGCCCATGGCCAGACAGCCTTGCCTGCTGCTGTTAAGCAGCAGCAAGCCAGCAGCAGCAGCAGCAGCAGCAGCAGCAGCTCGCATATGATGGGTTCATTTCCTCCGGCAGCAGCAGCAGCAGCTGCTGCTTCTCTTCCTCATTGGGGTTCTCCTGACCGCAAGCTGCATGCAGTGTTGCTGCAGCAGCAGCAGCAACAGCAGCCGCAGGGTGCTGCAAGCTGCTGCGGCAGCAGCAGCTGCCGCCTCAGTGACAGCAGCACCTCAGCAGATGACCCCTGCAGCAACAACGGCCGCCGCCGCAGCATCGATAGCTTTTCTAGCGAGAGCAGCAGCAGCAGCCCGGACAGCAGCATGAACAGCGGCGCCCTGCAGCAGCAGCAGCAGCAGCACTTGCTGCAGCAGCAGCAGCACTTGCTGCAGCAGCAGCAGCAGCAGCTAGCGGGGCACTTCAGCACGCCTGCAGCAGCAGACGCCGGGAGGCCAGCAGCAGCTGCTGCTGCCTTCTCTTTCGCCTCATCCTGCAGGGCTGCTGATGCTCGACCTTGCTTCCACGGAGAGCAGCAGCAGCAGCAGCAGCAGCAGCAGCAGCAGGTGAAGCTGCAGCAACTGCAGGCCCACCACCAAGAGCCCCGGGAGGAGCAGCAGCAACACCAGGCGGGACGAGGGGTTGTCGGCAGCAGAAGCAGCAGCAGCAGCAGCAGCAGCAGCAGCGACTTCGTGCTGGGGGGGCTCTTCGATAGATTTGCTGCTGCCAGTATGAACAAG